GCGGCGGAACGGGGCGGTAGCCTGCTGCAGGGCTACCCACTGGTGACTTGGTCCAGCTGGGCACACAGCAACATCTCCCTCCATAATGTTTCTATAGAGGGATAAGGCCATCTGTGCTATGTTGCTCATTTCAGCTACGTCACTTGGGTGTCAACAGGGAGCATCATCTGAAAGCGAGAGGGTGAAATGTAGCTGGTCATGTGGCTAGGTTAAGGAAGGTCATGCCACTAATGGCATAGGAAAATCTGGTCTCTGGCTCCTTGGGGAGAGGAAGCAGAGGCAGGTAAGGATTTATCTGATCGTTTGGCTTGGGGAACCTGGCTCTCCATCCCTGCTGTCTCCAAGGAGAGCAGGCGTCAAAGGGACTGGGTCCTTCACTGAAGAGGAGCACGCAGCCCCAAGGTGGGTGACCCCTGACCGTGCAGTGGGGCTTACTCTGCTCCCTCCCTGCCCCACAGGTCACACTGACGGCTGAGACTGATTGCAGCTTCATCACCTGGCCAAGGAAGAAGCTGTATCTTCTCCTGAGGAAGGACCGCTATGTTGCCCGGCTCTTCTCCTCCCACTTGGGCTATGACATCTCGGAGAAGCTCTACTCCCTCAATGAGAAGCTCTTCGCTAAGTTCGGCCTTCGCTTCGATATCCGCTTGCCCAGCCTCTACCACGTCCTTGGGCCGGCCTCCTCTGAGGGGGAGCCGGAGGACTGTGAGGAGCTGACACCTGCCTCTGGCCAGGCTACAGCCACCGCCGCCACCGGCTCCGCGCCTCCGGGCATCCCGTCCCGACAGTGACCTGCTGGGTGAGGACTCCACCAGTCTTGTCTTGGAAGATTTTGCTGAGTTGCCGGGGTCTTTTATGGACTATGTGAGCGAAGGGGAGTATATGAAGTGAGGGCACTCCTGGCATGGGCACGCCTCACCCTGTGTGGGACCCCTGCGTAAGTACCCGCTTGTGGAAGCAAGTCCTTCCTGCGCTGCAACTGCCCAGGCAGAGCAGTGGCCCCCAGCTTCTCACTCTAGTTTGCCATGGGTTTGCTTCTCTGCAGCTTTTTTTTTTTTTTGCCTGCTGCCCCAAAGAATCCTGGGAAGAGGGCTTCCTCTGTGTGATTTTTTCTTAAGGAGAAGCAGCAGGGTGAAGGCTTGACTCCAGGCACCAGTTGCACTGTGGGGTGGAAGGGCCAATAACCTGGCTGTAGGAAGCTCTTCCCTGCCCTGTCCTCTCTCCATCCCTCGGGGGAGGCAGAGAAACTGAAATGGTGTCCAGGCTGGCAGGTGGTACACAAGTGTCTGCAGAGACACCACAGGGCTTGACCTGGCTCACCATGAGGTAGAGCTGTGCCTGGAGATACTACAGTATTGAGCTGAGGAAGATGTTTGCAGGTGAGAGAGCAGACAACCCAGGAGATGCTGTCAGGGGTAGAAGCAGCTTCAGGCTTTACAGCAGATTGATAGCCAGGAGTTGCTGTATACCCTGCAAGTGCTCAGTCTGGGCAGGGGGAGAAAGCTCAGAGTCCTTCGTCCCCCTGCCCAGCACAGTTCATCCCAGCACTTGCTGTGTCCTCCTTGTTTCTGCTGAGCTTCGGCTCAGCCAGATCAGTAAGGTATGCAGACTGCACTGCGTGGCACAGCTCTTGCCTCCAGTCACCCTGGCTGGGTTGACGGGCTACATGTTGTTTTAACGTGCCCCAAACTCTGCTTTCGGGTGAGTGGGAATCAGATGCTTTCTTTCAAAATGCCAACTCCTTACTCTGCAAGGGAAAAATTCCCAGGCCTGGTCGATATTGGGGCAGAGGAGCAATGCAGGAAAACAGAAATAGATGGGAGGGTGGCTTGTGCTTGAAATTCAGATTCAAGTGGCCAAGAGAGAAATTCCAGAGTGAGCTACTTTTAGCCAACCACTGCACACCAGCTGCTGCACACC